ACCTGATGCTCACTCCCTTCTCTCCACTAAATACCTAAAATGATTGGAATGGATGAAGCAAGATGCCTGTAATTCTCTTTAAATTGAGTGTTTGCTTTGGAGGATGTGGGGGGGTTTGGGGGGGGGGGGGGGGAATATCCTTAATTAAAGTGCAGGGAACTGACAGCAAAATGAGATAAACCCTACCTTGCAGGTTCTATAGGAAATTGCATATCCCAGCAATCCTGATCAAGAATTCAGATCATTTAGGAAATTAAGGGGGACTGGTTCTTCAGAAGAGTTCAGCACCAGCAGCTCCCACTTAATTTGGTCACTTCATTACAGTCCTTCTCTAGGAGATAAGGCCTAGCCAAAAAACAGCCTTTGAGAAAAAGCAGATCTTTTATGCAGGACTGGCATCCTACCTCCATCAGCAGCCCCTGCTGGGATGGCTCTAGCCACGTCCCCGCAGAGCATCCCAGGTCCCTCAGCATGATGGAGGGGCTCCCTGACAGCACAATGGGTCAGCAAAGAGCTACCACCTCCTACCAGAAGACACACAGCCAGGTACAATCCCCTCGCATCCAGTGTTCATGTCATGAGGCAACACAGCCACCAGAGTCAGCCCACATTAGAGGTTGGGTGATGCCCTTGACTCCATGAATGATGTACCTTGGACACTGCAGATGCAGAGGACATTTACTTATGCAGAACAATATGGGCAGGTGGTACTTAGCACACTGCCTAATGACAGAGTACCCTTCCCGAGATGCTGCCTAAGAAAAGCAGGGATCCATTTCCTCAGAGGTGACTCCTTGCAGGCTTTCTGTGGGCCAGGGCAGACATTTTCTCTCCTTGCATAAGAAAGGTCTCGTCACTGCCACCTTGCTTGAGTGGAGTCTCAGACACCTTGCCACAAGGTGACAAGAGGAAGACACAGTGGCCAGCACTGTACCAGCACTTCATTTGTGGGGATCGCACTGCCTACAGAAAACGAAGCAAGCATGCAAGGCCAAAATTAGGCTCTTTGCAAGCCAACCTTCTCCTCTCCTCATTCCAGACAATCTTGTGAAGCCCAGCTTTGAAGAAGGCTATGGTCACATAATGCAAACTCAGAGTATCATCAGTGAAGATGGTATTACTGCACCAGATTAAAGCTGGTGTAAGCACAGGAGGAAGGAACCAGCCTGCAGATAAACTACTCCTACGCGGTAGTCATGAGGTTCCTGACATTGCCCCAGACTGATTTCATTTCCCTTCCAAGTAGGGAGACCCTAGCTGTGGCATCCCTTTCTATAGGAATAAATCAACAATGGTCTGGTCATGATTCTTTTAGGCTAACAGCCCACAGATTTGACTTAGTTGTTTTAACTGTTTCTGATGTGTTCAGCTCTCTCACTCATGGTGGTGCTACCTCTCTCCTTCAGCTTCCCCCACCATCCACAGCAGCATCTGCGGCAGTTAATCCAGGATGTCAGGTACATCCACTCTGAGGAGATGAGTGCTGCAGCTGGGTCCCTTTGTCCCCCTCAGTCCCAGTAAACCTGTCACTCGTCCCCACCTGTAAATGGTGGTAACTCCTGAAGGCCTTACGGTGTTTACCAAAGCATCCTTATTGTTGGGAAAAAACTCAATGAAGGCGCCATCAGCCTTAGGAGTGAGCACTGAGCCCATCCACAGCGTACTGCTACACTTAACTAGAACATGGGCAGTCACAACTCTTGGTACTTAGCACTCCTTCCAGGGCTTCAACTCACCAGGACAAAGGGACCTTTGCTACAGGAAAGTATAAGATCAACGCTGAAATTCAGGATCACCTTGCCTGATCACAGCTTGATACAATATAAAATTATTTGTGTGCTTGGAGTGTGGCAGCTGAGAGTCAAAGGATGGGAGTTTCAAGAAGTTTTTTTGCCTTTGAAAAATTTCACTTTCAATAACCTTAATCTGCCTGGATTTAACAGACCTGACTCACCTTCTACAGCAGCCAGACCCACAGAGATAGATGCTCCTGATTTACACCAAAGAAGAGAATCACAGCTTGGGATGCTGGTTCTTATTTACAAGGAATTTGCCCCAGTTTGAAGGCATACAGGAACCCTGTAGTAAGTATAAACTACCACTCCCAGGTCAGCATGCACTGACAGTACATAACTGGAAATCAGGCTACTGTCTCCACATCTAGTCTTTACTAGCAGCTGATGGCAGATTAATGGGATGTGTGACAGACGGTCAAACCAGAGCTAAGATGGAATAAAAGGCAAGGTACATATATCTGCCTGCCTGGCAAAGTACTGAATATATGAATATTGCAAACAGACCCCATGGGGAGCACCACACTTTTAATCACAGTTTGGCATATTTGTCTTTGTGGGTCCCAACTTTAAAAGCAACCTCAGATCTGACAAAAGGAACAAGGAAGAAGAAAGAGATGAACCTTTGCGCAGATGGGTGTACAAAAGCAAAACTCTTTTCAGTGTTAATGAACAGACAGAAAGACACAACGTGAGCAAGATCACGTTAGTGTTTCCATTTCCATCTCTAGCCAGAGTAAAGTCTCTGTTCTCAAAGCACTACCAGTGACACACCGAGAATCACATCCTGAAGGCCTTACGGTGTTTACCAAAGCGTCCTTATTGTTGGGAAAAAACTTAATGAAACAAAAAGATGGCTCCCCCATGGGAGTGGAAAGGAGCAATCAGGTCTCACCTCGGAAGTTTTCTGAGGCTGATCATATAGAAGACAGAAGTGTCCCTCCTCACGTGTTGATGTCTGCCCCTTGAAGGGCTATTTTCCTATCCAGATAAAACAAATGCTCCGGGCCACACTCTGTGCTCAGCAGCACTAAGGGTAATGGGATCGACTGAAGGCAACGTTTGATTTCTGCCTGTCTGCTGACTGTCCTGGATAGCCCCAGCAGTATTTGCATCCCTGACTCTGTGAATTGGGTCTATGGCAAATGCTGCAGAGAGCTTCCCAAGCCCTGGGTGAACGCTACCTGCAAAGATGTAAGCACTCGCTAAGATCTCCCCCCTCTTCTTTCCCCTCCAGCACCACTCAGCTTTGCTCCGGGGCTCGGCAGAGTTGCAGAGCTTCATACAGGGGTGCAGCAGAGCCACAAGGGGAACACAGAAAGACCAGAGAGGCAGAAAAGCCCACTAGCTTCCGCATGGGTCTGCAGTGTTCACCAGTGGGTGCTCAGGACCTCACTCCCACAGGGACACACTGCCACCCTGTGGAAACGGTCCTTCCTCTCCCAGGCAGCTGGGGAAGGACACAGGGAGATGGCTCACAGCCTCACAGACGCTCATTAGTTACACTGCTAATGCACTAGCAAGCCGCACGCACTTTGGCACTGTGCTGTAGGAAGGCTCTGTGAATTTAATTTATTGAGACTAATGCAAATTTAATTTCTGCTAAGTCTTTGTAATCACATATCTAGTGGCAGGGTGGCTGCTGCAGACACAGTGATGTAGCTACTGAAATGCACAGCTACTGCCACTCACTCGACCCCCTTCCACTGATACATTAAAACAACAAGGGGCAGATCATCAGAAATCTTCAGACAAGCCAGATGAGAGACCGAGGCTGGGTGCCACCTCTGTCCCCAAGACATCAGGGCAGCACGCAGAAAAGGGCAGAAAGCCTCAAACAAGGCGGGACACGGACACCGTGTTTCTTCCATCCTGCTACATCCAAAAAATCCCGAGCCCCAGTCCCGGCTTTGGGTGGGCTGGTGAAGAGCCAGGCAGCCTTAGCATTAGCAGGTCAGCACTAAACACCAAGATACAGCCCTGACGGCGTAATTCTGTCAGCAAGAAAATAAACAGCAGGTGAGCACCAGTGGAAGTCTCTCATCAGTACACTCAGAAGGTTATTTAAACACAGTCTGGAGACCTATTTATTCAATAAGGGCTGTAATCAGCCTGCAAATTAATCTCAACAAATCTCTCTACGGCAGAGTGAGAAATGAGATTCCTTGGGAAAAAAAAAAAAAATTAAGCCTTGCTGCTGACAGATGAATACTCTGTACCCAGATTTAAAAAATAAAGACATTAAATCTAAAAACACGGGGGTTGAGTTTATATTCCTAACTCCTTAGTAAGAACTGAGGCAGGACAGCCCAACAAAAAGCTCCCTGAAGAGGCTGGAGAACCTGAAAAAACTACCAATACTAGAAAACAAAGTCTGCTACTTGTAACTATGCAGGTACATCTGCATTTCACAATGGGCCTGACACAAAACACACAGAAGAGACAGCAATTCTTTTGATTTACTTCAGTAGGCTTTGGGTCAGCTCTCAGATGCAGCAACCTCTCATTTTTATTTCCATTACAAAAAAAAAAAAATTATGAACTCTAGTGTATGCACTCCTCTCTTCATTCAAACAGATCGCTGTTTCATGTCAGCAATCAGACAAAAGAGAAATGAAACATTCTCATTATTATTCAAAATGAA